AGCTCAGTAGAATGAGCACTTGCCTGGCAAGCACAAGGGCCTGAGTTCAGTCCCCGGTTCCACCTAAAAAAAAAAAAAGGTTCAGGGATATAGCTCAGTGGCGTAAGCGCCTGCCTGGCAAGCATAAGCTTGTGAGTTCAATCCCTGGTACCACAAAAATAAACAAAGAAATAAATAAAAAGTAAGTTACTGGAGATGGTTTATAGTATGTAGAAGGATACAGGGACCAGGGTTATGGCTCTGCAACACAGTGCCTGCCTGGCAAGCACAAGGTTCTGAGTTCAATTCCTGGTACCAAAATAAAATTTAAAAATAAAAAATAAATTTAAAAGGATATGTATAGGTCATAGCATTTCATACAAGGGCTTTGTGTGTCTGTAGGGTTTATGTCAGAGAAGGGTTCTAGAACCATTTTCCCACTGACATGGAAGGATGACTATATTAGGTTCTCACTGGTGCTATAAATAAATCGCCACAGATTTAGTGGCTTCAAATACACGTGTATGTAGCCAGTCCCATGGATAACCCACTACTACTATGGACTACTGGACTGTATTGAATTATTTCGCTGAATTCATGTACCTACAATATTTAAATGGCAAGGGAATACCCATCTCTGACAAAACTAAACAAAAAAAGGGGATACAAATGAAGGACCATTTTGTATCTGTATATACAAAATAGTTAAGATAGATATACAGCTACTTTCTCTTAATTCAATGAGAAGAAAGATTTGTACTAATAGTATTTGGACAGGATATCATGTCCGCGTCTTGTGCTATGAATAACCACTACGAAGACAATAATATGCAATGTATTAATTATTAAAACTGTCTTACTAATCGGTTTTGAAACTGTCTCATTGCTATTTGTTTCTCAATAAAATTAATTTTAAAAACCCAAATACACATGTATGTTCTCTTGTGGGTCTGGGTCAGAGGACACAAATGAGTCTTTGAGGCTAAAATCATGGCATCAGCAGGTCCATTCCCTCATCTTTTCCAGGTTGTTGCGCTGTTGTGCCCTGTATCCCTTGGCTGGTGGCCCCTTCCTCTGTCATCAAGGGGCATCACTTGTGTCTTAGCTTCTGCTCCATTTCAGCTCCTCCTTGGAGTCTGCCTATGTCCTCCTTAAAAGGGCCTTTGTGATTATACCAGTCCAACCTGATACTCTGGGATCATGTCCCTCTCTCAGAATGCTGTACCTTCTCACTTCTCCACAAATCCTCTGCAAACATTATGAAGTAACAGTCACAGGATCCAAGGCTTAGGACAGGGACATTTTGGGGAGCCATTACCCGGTCTACTGCAGCTAGCATGAACACCCTTGGAATGAACAGTGAATGCTCAGATAGAGAAATGCCAGCTCTGAAGTGTTACTTCAGGCTGAGATCAAGGAAGGCTTATGTGAGATTCATCTAGGCTGAAATCCAAATGAAGGCAAGAGCTGCAGGGCAGGGCAGAAAACACTTCAGGCTGAGAAGAATCTGTAACAGAAATGAGCTTAAGAGACTTGTTGGGTTTGTTAGCTCAGTTGTTTAAAGCATCTGCTTGGGCAAACTCAGTCAGGTGCAGGAGACCCTGGTTCAATCCCCAGCTCCACAAGCTGCAGCAGACCCACCCTAAACTCAGCCTGAGCTAGGAAAAAAAAGAAAAGCCTCAGCAGATCCACCCTAAACTCAGCCTGAGCTAGGAAAAAAAAGAAACAAAGAAAGAAAGAAAGAAATGAACTTGGTATGTACAAGTGAGTGTTCACCTTTTCTATTCCCAGTGGCTTTTCCAGAATAAGAAAAAAAGGTTTTTTTTCAGTACCAAAGACTCAGTACAGAGCCTTCACCTAAGCTATATCCCCAATCCTTAAAAAAAAAAAATGTAATTAGACTAATTTTACTAAGTCACTAAGTTGCCCAGGCATGGCTGGAACATGAAATCTAGCTGCTTTAGCCTCATAAAACGCTGAGATTACAGATATTTGTGCTATGTCAGAATAAGAAAACTTATTTTATTTTATGTTATTTGAGACAGGGTCTTGTTATGTAGTTTAGGTTGGCCTCAAACTCACAACCATCCTCCTGCCTCGGCCTCCTGAGTGCTGGGATTACGGGTGTGTGTGCCACCAGACCTGGTAGGATAGAAATCTTTACGCTCTATCCTGCATCCTGAAATTTTTATGGGAACACACACACACACACACACACACACACACACACTGATGATTCTCAGCAGGGACCCTTTTGGTCACAAAAACTAGAGGAATTCTCAGGACAACCCAAGAGTCCACTTGGAGATTGAGGGACCTACAGCAGCGCCTAGTAACTTCAGAACTTTTCTGAAAATCCCCAAATAAGAGCTTGTTTTGATTGTGGCTATCAAGAGCTTATTAGCATTGTCACAACTGTATCTTACAAACCCTGGTAACATAAACACCATACTGTATTTGGTTATTTCAACTGAGACAGGAGCTTAAAAGGAGGGGGGCAGAGGCTTCCAGTCCCTGGAAAGGTGTGCTACTCAGTTGGAACCCACCAGATTTTCTTCCAGTGGCTGCAGGGCTTTTTCTCAACAAACACTGAGCTCTTGAACAACACAATGGTGGCTGATCCCTCCCCACCTTCCCCTGAGTCACTGTCTCCTATTGATTCACTTTCCTTGGCTCTGAGCACAGTAAAGCCCAAGAAAAACTAAGAGTGCGGCCCCTCAGGTTTGCAAGCAATCAACAAATACACTTCAAGAGTCTAACACAGTTGTGTGTGTGTGTCCTCCCACTGTTTTACGTGTGGCAGTTTGACTATCCCTCTATTCCAGCTTTCACTTCCATCCTCCTTAAATTCTGCATATTCATTGAGGGGCAAGTCAAGCCCAGTACACTCTGCACAGGGAGAGCTCCTAAAGGAGCGCCTGGCATGGAGCAAATGGCCCATATTTACTTGTCCTTTTGTTCAACAAAGACCTGCTAGGCATCTCGGGGTGGAGCCCTGAGTTAGGAGCCTGGATACATTATATTTAATGCCAGGACAGATTAAGAATCAACAATTGACAGAGACATTTAAGACCCATGGTGATTATAACTAGGAAGTGATTTCCATAAAGGAGAGTTACAATGCGACCAAAAAGATTTGCATGCCATTGTGAGCCTGGTCCTTTGATCAGATTCCATGATCAGCGATCAAATTGAGCCATTTGAGATACTCACTGGTTTATGGTGCTTGTTAATCCGTCTCCTCTGGCTCTGAACCGAACTACCCAGCTGCAGGGTGTTAAAGGTTAAGCCCTGCTCCCTCTCCAGCTCCTCGGATGACTGCCTGGCAGCAGAGGGTGAAACGACCTCATTTATCTGGAGGCACAGAAGGAAGTGCTAAGACAAAAGGTGATCTACAAGGTGAAGGCTGTGACTCTTGAGTTTAAATTAAAACCAAGAGACACAGATGAAAAGCCTACTATATAATGACAACAATTTTAAGGTCATGAATGTATCTCACACATTTGGTGGTTCCAGTCACCAAATCTCAGGAGCCAAACACCGGAACTCTGTTCAGGAAGAAAGGCAGCTGTTTCTAGCTTGAAACTTCGGGCTGGTGGGTTATTTTCCCCACCATTCAAGAACACATCTCAGTTTGATTCCCAAACATGATACATTTTTATGGCTTGCAAAACCTGATAACACCGCCTCAGAGTCCAACTGGTTGTGTGTGTTCTAAGTCCAGAGGCATCTCATACTTTCAGTGTCCCCATCTGGGCCACACAGAGCCTTCTTTGTGTGCATTTCCAACTGAACTTTATCCCGTGAGCAATTTAGAAGTCTCATATCCTAACAGCCATAAACGACGCGATTGTCCACGACCGTACCTAGATAGAGGTTCTCAAAAATCAGAAGAAGACCGTTTCACCCTCGTGAGGTAGAAGTGGAAGGGTAGAAGTCTCAGACGCTAAGGGAAGTTCCAGTCAGAAGGCTGTTCTGGGTCTCTCCCAGCCCAAGTGCACACTCTGAATGGGAGGGGCAGAGTTGGCAGCAGCTGCCTCATCCCTGGGCAGGGCTGCCCTGGGATGGAGACAGCAGGGAGACCGAGGAGCTGCACACCTGTGCAGACTGCCAGATGACAGAGAGATTTCTCTAACACCTCTGCTCACCATAACTTCTCCCTACCCCTCACTACTGGGGATTGAGCTGTAAACCCAGGCCTCTTAAAAATACGTTTTGGGCTTTTACGAAGTCTGATGAATTGCACAGGCTGGGCTCCAACTTGTAATCCTTCTGCCTCAGCTTTTCACAGCTCTAGGATTATAAGTATGTGCCACCATTCCTGGATCACTGTAGCTTTCTAAATCCCATTAGGATTTGTGATTAGCACCTCATGGAGTTTAAGGTCATTGTTAATGTAAAGGTTAAATATGTACTGAAACTTCAGTAGCCAGACCCTGATGTTTACTTTCAGGAGCTTCCAAAACTACAGCGAGCTACAGTGCTTCTTCCTTTTATAAACTGCCAAGGGGGGTCGGGGATGACCCTGAGATCTGTGGGATCAGCGAGGGAGTGGATGAGAGGAGTCAATCCGGGAAATTAATACATAGAAAGGATGTGTCCCTCCTTTCTGCGGTTGCCTAAAGGCAGGATTTGGGGAAAGCGCCCGAAGAGAGCGTGGATTTACGATTTCCAGCGCCATCACCGTGGGGGAACCCACAAGTCTTATATTTCAAGGGTCTGGGCTCGGGTCTGGGCGTCACGCGGCACTCTGTGAGGTCCGCGAGAGGGCGCGCTGGGGCCTCCCCGCCTGCCACAGGTGGGGTGGCCCCGCCTACCCGCCCCGCCCGCCTCCGCCCCACCCAACCTGGCCTTCTCAGCAGGGACTGCCCCGCCCTGCTCGAGTCCTGCCCACACGGCTGTGAGTCCACGCCCATTCCTCTGCACTGGGTCTCCTCCCCGCTCCTCGGGTTGCCACCGTCTCGTCTTGGCCCCACCCATGCGGCTATAGGCCCCGCCCACCCTGCCGCCCCAGGTGGGGCGGCCCCTCCCACCGGCCCTCCGCCGCGCCTTCTCCGCCGGGCTCAGGTGGGGCGTCCCGCTCGCCCAGCCGCGTTAGGCCGTTTTGTCTCGGCTCAACGCGGGCCGTAGCATCGCAGATTTTGACTTTTTGGCGTCGGGGTCGCGCGCGAACTCTCTAGGGCGGACGGCTGACCCTCGAGGGCCCCTCTTCAGTCGCGCCCCGGCGCTCCTGCCGCCCCCAGTCGGGCAGCCACGAGGCCCCGCAGCGTCCTCCCGCGCGCGCCCGCCCGCCTGGCGGCTGCAGCCATGTCCCGGGGACCGGAGGAGGTGAACCGGCTCACGGAGAGCACCTACCGCGTAAGCGGGGCCGGGGGCGGCACTCTCGGCGCTGGGGTTCGAGGTCCAGGCGGGGAGGGAGGTCGGGGGTGCCCGGGACCGTCGAGGCACTGGAGTTTGGGACTCGAGGTGAGGAGAGAGTTGAAGGGGTTCTGAAAGCCTGGGGGCGCTGGCGTTCTGGCCCGGAGGCTGGGGGTCCCGGGGGCGCCAGGGTTCGAGACTGACTGGGGAGGCAGGGGACACCTAGGATCAGAGTTTGTGTCCGTGAAGGGGATCCTCGCTGGTAGCTTGTAGTTGTCGCCAGCAGAAAATCTGAATTTTTCACTTTTGGGGTCAGGAGGGGACTTTGTGCGGGAAGATTCTCCCCTCCCCCTTCCAACCTCCTCCCTCTCGTCCGATCGCCGGAGACGCCCAAAAAACTGGAATTTATTTAAGGGGTTGAACCTAGGACATTTGCACTGAGCTACATCCCGACCTCTTTAAAAAAAATATATTTTGAGATAAGGTCTCGCAGGGTCCATAAATTGCCCAGGCTGGGATCAAACTTGCTGTTCTCCCGCCTCAAGCTGCGCATTTTACAGTATCTTGGTGGAATTGAAGAAGAGAGGAAAATCCGCACGTTCCCTTGGGTTGCCTCCCTCCTCCCAACTCCTTAGAATCAGTGACCGCGCTGGCCTGGCTGCTGGGCTTTAAACCCTGCGAGACCAAAGAAACGAGCTCGAGTTTCCACTGAGAAAAGAAAAGAATGTAGGAGAGAAACTCGTCTGTAATTAGGAATCGCCAGGTGAGCCAAGCTCCTCGCTGGCGCCCTTGGCTCAGGGAATTTTCTAGGCGAGGGCAGTCCGTTCTCAGAAAGACTTTGAAACCGCCCCTTTCCTTGGACCTATATGAAAGCGGCTTTAAGTTGAACTTGGCTTTTTATACATCGGTGATTTTGCGACGCTATTACAGTCAAAGAACACTGAGATTTTAATAAAATTGACCTAAACTTATGGAATTCTTTTTTTAAAATTCTTTTTTAAGGTGTTTTTAAAAAATTATTTATTTATTTGATACAAGATCTCGCTACGCAGTTCTGACTCGCAGTAATCCTCCTCTCTCAGCCTCCCCAGCGCTGCAGGCGCTTAGACCATTGAGCTATCTCCCCAGCCCTACCTTATAGAATTCTTGATAATCAGTCTCCCACTTTGCATGGTATGTGAGAGAATTTTTCCCAGAAACAGAGATAGAATTAGTGGCCAGTTTAGTAAGTTTAAGTACTTATAAATGAATTCCAGTTGAAATAAGATATGCCTTTAATCATCTGCTATTAATAGAATACAAAACAACTTTGTTTTAATTCTGCTTTGGCACACTGAACCCCTGAGACTTTAAAAGTTCTCTAAATTAATTTGTAGCTGTGATTCAGGCCCATAATTGGTCATTTTTATAACATTTTTTAACCCTGAAACTGAGTTTCTAAATTTGCAGGGCCTCAGTGAGTTTCTGAAATCAAAGAAGTTTATTAACTTTTGCATAGTATGAATTTAAAAACATTATGAAAATAATTTTATAGTCTATCCATTGAAATCCAAAAGATTATCAATTTCTTTCATTGGAAATATAAGATGTATACTGTAACATATGAATTAGACAGTAGACTTTGTTGGCATAGCAATTTTGGAGTCATCAGCCATGACCAAAACCATTCCTATTAGTGTTTCCTTAATAGCAATTTTTAGAAATGCCATGAACTTGAATTTTAAAGCATGAGGCTTGTTTTGAAATTGTTGATATTTAAATAATACTGAAGATGGGACAGGAGGTGTAGGATGCTAACAATGTATAAATAAAATATTCTTACTCATAGACTTGGAAAGTAATAGTTAACTCTGATGATAGTTAGGGCAAAACTGTAACTGAGGAATGCTGATCACTAGATATTAAATGTGGAGTGTAAATATCCACTTAGAGCACAAAAACACATGAACACCAGAGTTTCTCCACAATAGGCTTTTCTTGCCAGTGTGAAATGAGCGTATCAACTTGTGAGAAGCGGGTGCCCAGAGGGAACTGTGCTCCTCTTCTGGCTTCTGAAGACCTTCCAAGGAACTGTAGTTGAATCAGGGTTCCACAAATGTTACCCACTTTGACATATCATGTTACCCACAGGGTGAGTTTGGAAGAAAAAAAAATGTAGATTTCATCAGTTTGGTTCTATTTGTGGCCATAAAGCAATGTAAATCATTTTCATTTTTTGTGAGGTTTTAGTACCCGGAAGATCAAAGGCCAAGACTTAACAGCTTTGTATTGCCAGGTATCTGAAAGCATACCAAAACCTTACTAAATGATGGTTGGTTGATTGGTTGACTCATTATAATCATCATTACCTTGCTAATGTTTTGGAGTCAGGTTTTTCATGTTGTGGTGGTGGGATAGGAATTGATAGCACCAGATAACAAGTTCATGTAATCTAGAAGGTGGAGTGAAGGCAGCTAGTCCATGGTTTGACTACGAGGAAAATGTGCAGTGAAATTTTACGTTCACAACTCTTGATGGGAGACTTGAAAAACTTTGGGATTTTCCTTCCCAAAACCCACCTGCTCTGATGGAGGCAGAAAACGATTTAAACATCCTATGGCAAATTCTATTGACAGTGCTGGTGAATCTAATTTCTTGTATGTTAAATAGCAGTCTACAGTATTTTACTAATTAGAACACAACCTAGCCAGGTGTGATTACAAAAGCCATCTGCACATGAGATTTTATGACTTGCTACTATGGATTTGAATTTTTTTAATACTCAATTTTCTTTGAACTAAAGGAATAAAATCCTTAGAGAAAAGAGAGATTTGTAAAGTAATATAATCATCTATATGCAGTATCAAATATCCTTAAATATATATTTACACATTTGCTGAGTTTTTAAAAAGTATGTATTTAGACAAATGATCATTGGTGATCCCTGCTAATTTGCAGGAGGATGTGTGCTTTACTACTTTACAAACAAATGGTGTGATAATAGGCCCAAAATAAATCAAGTAATGTTGTTGTTGCTAATTAGAGTTCAGCCAAAATCCCTCCTGCCTTCCCACACTTTATAGTATGCCCATAATTTGCCTTCAAAAGCCTGCTTGTGCTATTGCATGGCTTTCTGATGAGTACATGCTTTCGTGGGAGGGGAAGAAGTCAAGTTTAGAAAAACCTGTATTTAAGAATAGCCACAACCTTCCTAGAAGTTAGAACTGTTAAAGTTTTAGGAAATTGAGGGAGGGTAAGGGTGATACCATCCAAGGACATCCTGCCTACACGGGCCTTCCTAAGTAGTGAATGAAAGGAAAAGATGACTGGGGGCAGGGGAGGAGAGAGGACACAAAAGACTTTGATTGTCACTTCTCAAGAAGCTCTGCTTAAACAACTCTAAAATTGCTAGAAGTTGTCTATCTCCCAGCACGACCCTAGATTACCTTTCTCCCATAAAATCCACTTCCTTAGAATATACTGTGTGCTGTATTCATTTATTATGTTTGTTCATCCCTGCCTAGAATGTGAACTCCACACAGCAAGGGACTTCACTGTATTGTAGGCATTTAAAACAGTTGCTGGCACATAGTAGGTATGGATATTTATTGAATGAATACACATTTGATTGATTTATTAAGTTCTTATTCTAGGCTAGGATTTTATCCCTTACTGGATAGTTTAGTCTGGGCTCAAATTTGCAATCCTCCTGCCTCAGCTGCCCAAGTGCTGGGTTATAGGTGTGCCCTACCACCTTTGGCTGGATACTTTCCATAGAGTGTTTTATCCTAGGAACGTTTCTGCCCTCAGGGTGGCTGTGGATTCTGTGCCTATTTACCATTTTTAGGTTGAGGAATTGAGGTACAGAATACAGTGACCAACTTCCACGTGGCATTTACCAACAGGTCTCTGAAGTAATTTAGTTTCTAGTCACCAGCAGGTGCATATACCAAGTGAAGTTTCATAATGTAGACATCTAAGGTGTCACTGAAATTTTCGATTGTTCTGGTAATTCATCATTGACATACTTGAAATTAACCTTTCAATAACGTTTTGATGATTTTATTGAGCAAAGGAAGTAGTTTAAGAATGTTTTTCATGTTTAAATTTTTTCAGATTGAGTTTAATGGGGATATGTAAGTAAAAGAGACTGCCTGATTGGTTTTTGTTTTGGGCAGTATATAACTCTAGGATATAAAAGTTTTTAAATGCCTTAAGAACCTTCTCTGCTTCAGGTATGGTATATTATGCCTGTAACATCAGTTTTATGGAAGGCTGAGCCAGGAGGATCACAACTTCAAGGCCAGCCTGGGCAACTTAGACCCTGTGTGAAATTTTGAAAAAATAGACTCGGGTCCTAAGGGTCAGTAGTAGGGCACTTGCTAGTATGTGTGTGGCCCTGCATTTGATCCCCAGCACTCAAGGTAGGGGACACACCCTCTCTGGGGTATATTTGTTGCTATAACTGTTTACTATTGGGTATTTTAACCTCTCTCCGAACCCTGCTTTCTTTATATGTACTGAAGATAAAATGGGATTTGCAGAAGTCTAAATAACTTGCTTTTCCCTCCATAGGACCAAAAAAGGGAGTAGAGTGAGTCATGTGTCAGGGAACATCAGAAAGGTTGCCAGATATTAACTATTAATCTGAATACCCCAGTACTTTTCAGATAAGATGAAAATACCAAGCAAACAATAGATTTTTTTTTTGCCTATTGAAAACATTGTTTATCTTAATGGGAAAGAGATTTTCAGTCTATATAACATTGCCTTGAAACACCGTTTATTGGGGAACCTGAGTGGCAGGGAGCAGTGGACAGATTATATCATCCACAGGTTTCAGGAAGCTTTTGAGTTTGCATTTGTGACATTATTTCAACAATCATTTTTGCCTCACACTGCAAAGGAAGCCTAATGGGTGTAGAACGGCAACAACTCTGATTTTTGTTGTCAACATTCCACACAGCAATTTATTCTACAGGTAGAAATTATTACTAAAAGCTACATTTACATTAGTGTAAGTTGCCTGGTGATATATGCAAATTATTATTATTATTATTATTTTTCGGAACTGGGGATTGAATTCAGGCCCTTGCACTTGCCAGGGAAGCGCTTATTCCACTGAGCCATCTCCCTGGCCCCAATGTATTATTTTTTTAAAAAAGTTTTTCTTGCATTGCATCTGTGACTGTGTTTAAGTGTGTATAGTTCACTAAATTGTCGCAAGCTGAACACAACTGTAACCAGCACCCATCAACAAACAGAATATGGCAACTCCTACTCATGTTGTCTTCTGTACCCTGTGCTCTTTGTGAAGCTGTTCTCAGCTATGATGGGTTTCAGTATCTTTTTTCCCCCCTTTGTGGTAATATGGATTGAACTCAGGCCCTACACCTGTTAGGCAAACACTATACCATTGAACTATGTCCTTGTTTCTTAAATTTTTGAGAGGTCTTCCTAAGTAGTTGCCCAAGCTGACCACAAACTTTCTATCATGCCTCAGCCTCCTTTGTAGCTGGAATTACAAACATATGCCACTGTTCTACTCTGTGTATCTCTTACCCAAGGTCCTTGTCGGATTCACCCATGTTTTTGGAGTAATTATGCTTACTTAGTTCATTCTTGTTTCTAAATGATATTCTGTGGGAATATAATACAATTCATTTTTCTCTTGATGGACATTTAGACTGTGGGCCTTATTGGGTTGCTTCAGGCTCTTGAGCCGTGAATTCTAGTACATGTCTTAGTGTTGGCCCTCATAGCTCATCTGTGTATGGACAGGAATGGATTTACAAAGTGTAAAGCATTTGAATAGTTAGCCTCAGTAGGAACTGCTAGGCAGTTTTCAAAAGTGGTAGCACCAGTTGACATTCCGAGCAGCAGCATATGAGAGCAGTATACGCTCTACATCCTTATCAGCAGTTGGTATTGTCAGTTCTTTTACTTTTTGCCATTCTGATGGATATGTGTAAATCAATATTTTAATTTAAAACCAAATATTTATTGCTTGCTTATAACTCCAGCACTCTGGAAGGCAAAAAGATCATAAAGTTAAGCCCAGTTTGGGCAACTTACCAAGATTCTTTCTAAAAAATAAAGGGTTGGGGATGTAGCTCAGTCCACAAGCCATAGGTTCAATCTCCAGTACTGCTTAAAAAACAAAACACCCCACCAGACGTATCAATGATTTGTTTCTCCATTGGATGCCTGTAACATCAACAGATGCCAGGAGGGGACACTTAATTGTCAGAGGCAGAAGGAGGATGTAGGGAGTGTGGCTCTCAGTGATGCCATACATAGTTGTGGTATTCACTTAAGTAAAGTATAACTTTCAGTTTATTGGACTCTACAACTATTGCAGCTGAACACATCAAAGGACTATTGTGGAAGGCGCGTTGAGAGCACAGATGAGCTGCTGAAACAAACTGGGGTGCTTTGGGTGGCATGCGGAATTATGGTTAGCCAAGTTTTCTTGCTAGTTGAGTGATAATAAAAATCTTTCCCTTTTTATGTACCCTTTCTTAGAAATGTACATACTTTACTGTTGTCAATACAATAGTTTAATTTTAAAAACTTTTATTTTTACCCTCTGAGCTTAAAGAGGAAAAAAAAAAAGCAAAAATAACAAGAACACAGACAAAAACAGAGCGACATAGAACAAGAAAAATATGGAACGCTTCATGAATTTGCATGTCTTCCTTGCTCAGGGACCATGCTAGTCTTCTCTGTATCGCTGCAGTTTTAGTATACATGCTGCCAAAGTGAGCACTTAAAAATAATTTTAGTGAGCTACAGTTCAATCAGGATTTCAGGATTAGTGCTTTCTAAAGTACTTTTAGCTTTCTTTCTTTTTTTTTTTTCTTTTTTTCTTTTTTCTTTTTTTTTTGCTCCGAATGCCTTCAGGGCAGATTTGGCTGGCTTGAGTTGTGGGGCTTGAACCCCGCCACCTGAGCCTGACTGCTTTGTTGAAGCAGCCACTTAAAGAAAGAACTGAGCTACGGGGCAGGCCCTTAGCTTTCTTAGTAGCACTGTAGCTGTACATGCTTGAGAGCAAGTCTCCAGAATTACCCTTTCCTACATCTTCCACAGTCATTCCTAGGGTGTGTGTGTGTGTGTGTGTGTGTGTGTGTGTGTTTAATCCTGGAGGCTTTTAAAAAATGATTTTTCTCATACTAGAGTATTTCCAAAATGTCTATGAAAATTTACATCAAGAATGTCACCCAGAAACCCACAACCCAAAGATAACACTGCCTCCCTGTCATCTTTCATATATCATTGTCAGGCTGTAGTCAGTGCTTCATCATCTTGATGACTCCGCAGGATGCCATTCTTCATCATAAGTTATTGATCCAGGCCTGTTGTTGGATGTAGACTGGTGCCAGGACTTCGCTGCTAAAGTACTGCAGTGGGCACCAATGCGGGTAAAACTTTGCCCAGGTCCATGATGTTTACTGAAATTAAGTCCCCAGAAGGGAGCCATGGGTCAAGGGTAGGTGCCTTTCAAAGCATATTTGCTCCTGCAAAATGCCCTCCAGGAAATACTCCTCAAATTATGCTGTAATCTGTATTGTGTGAGAGTGTACCTTTCCCTTAACTCCTGCCAGCCAAGTAGATCTTTACAAGACTTCCTTTCCCATAGCCCATAATGTATATGTGTTTGCAGTAGTGAAAGAAAGAAAGAAAGAAAGAAAGAAAGAAAGAAAGAAAGAAAGAAAGAAAAGAAAAGAAAGCCAGCCAGCCAACAAGCAAACAAGTGTAGAATACAGACATTGTCCAGAACATTCAAGATTTCAGCCTCATGGATATGGACAGAGTGATTACAGCTCTTTGACCCCTCAGACCTGGTTTCATCTGTTCTTATTTCTCTCAGCCTTGATTTTATACTTCTGTGTATTTGTGTTTGCCTAAACTTGAGCCCCTTTCTGGCTTATCATGTTAGTGACTGAGTTCTGGTTAGAACAGCTGTTTCAGATCCTTGTGGATAAAAGTTAGGCATGTATATAAATGAGAGAAAGTGTTGAAAAATATTGTTGAATGTGTTCCCAAATTAGGGTGCAAAATAGCCGAGTGCCACACAGAAATCTGAAGGATCCTTCACAGCCCACTAGAGCTGTGTGAGGTTTGGTGAGAACAGAGGGATCGAGATGCCCTCTAGTTTGTTTCTTGAATTGTTTTTATTTATATGGTGCTTTTGAGGTTTGAAGTCCCTATACACTAGCAATTCCTTTGACTCTAAAATTCTCAATGACTGGAAGACAGATTCAGAATTTTCACTTAGACTCTACCTTCTGGAATATTCTCTTCTTTTGTGTGCTAAAGCGTTACTTTTTTAATAGTGTTAAACCAAAAGAAACAAATTGATAGATTCCATTTCATTTGGATATGTTGGATCTAAGTTAAAATTCCACCCTGTCTACCTCTGTTGTATAAATTAACCTTTTGTAGATATACTCTTAATGGTTTTTCTCTTAATTTTTGTATTATGGGAATGTGCATTTTTAGTATGTGTTAATCTGAGACAACAAATGAAACAAAATTAATGAAACCAAGAACATTCAAATTCCAGTTCTTAAAACCATTTTTTTTTTTTTAAGTCTCATTCCTGTCTTAAGCAGCTGGACCTTTTCAAAGTCCAGCTGAATCCTGGAAAGACGTAGAAGTGTTAATAACCTGTCATAAATGTGGGAAGGATCATCTGAGTAGGCACACTGTCTAGAACAGACGCACAGAGGGTGATGGTGCGGGTAAGAACATATGGGCAGCTGTCCTAAATTTCTTCTTTATTTTTTTTTGTGGCACAAATCCTGGGTTAAACCCAGGACCTCATGCATAATAACCAAAGTACTCTACTACTTAGCTACACCTTCAGCCCTCAGGTAGCCTCCCTGAGCACAGAGCTGGACTGTGTGAGTCAGGAGGAATGAGGGGGTACAGGAGATAGTCCTGTCACCTTCACATGCCTGCCAGATAGGGTACCTGGGACTTAAGATAATAAATAGAGTAATCCATTTGTGGCCACAAAAACTCACAATCATAATACCTAGTACCTAAGTGCTGTAATTTATATACATATGACTGACTTTTGGCCTAGGGTGTGTAGCTGCATGGTAGAGCACTTGCTAACATGTGCCAGACCCTGAGTTTGAGTCTCAGCCCTGGGAAAAGAAGAGCTAATCTTAAGTAACCAAACAGTATATTTTCTGAGAGCCTAAGCTTCATCTTTTATTTGATTAGACTAAGATACAGGTCATCAGCCATGTCTGACGGTACACTTAAGTGTGTAAACACACTCTCAACATGGAAATGTTTAAATTGCTCCTGCTAAAAGTCTTAGTCCAACTCTTGGTCTCTGAGAATTTTCAGCTAACCAATCCATTCCTATATAGCCTAGATTTTTATTTGTACTTGATGATGTTGTGTTCCTCTATTTGACCTTGTGCTTCAGTTTTCTCACCTATAAATAAGGATAACGACAGTACCTACAGGTTTGCTGTGAGGATTAAATGTGCTAAGACAGGAAGGCCCTCACAGTAGTGTCTGGCACGTCATGGGTGTGCAGTGAGCGTTGCTGTCTAGAGAGCAGCATGTGTTTACTAGACTGCCACGACCATGAAAACACTGATTTCCATGTTCTGTTCCCTGCTAGCCTGAGTAACCAGAGGTGGAACTGGATAAATATTTGACAAAAGAGTAGTGTTGAAATTATTGGCACACGTTTTTCTCTTCTCCATGAGCTCTGTGCTCCTTTAGGGTTTTTTAAATCCCCAATTCTGCTGGTGCATAGTATACACCAAAAATATCTGTGGGATGAATACTGAAGATCTGTTCTTACCACCCAGTTTCAACTGCAGTTGTCCCCTGCTCTGTGTTCAGCTAATGAGACTGAGATGGCACAGGTAGTAACAGCTACCCTATTTGAAGTACCTGTTGCTGCTGTGCAGGTCCCAGGCTCCCTGCTGATGTTGAGGCTTCTGCAGCTGCTTTCTCAGGCCCCACAGCTGCACCAGGCACTGTGGTCACTGCTGGGACCCACACTAGAAGGAACGCACAGTGTCGGTGTGCTTCTGGGCCTATAGCTAATCACAGGGCAGCGGTGCCAACGTTGCGCACCTCCAGCCTTTCCTTTCCTCCTCAGCCTGTCCGGGCTCATTGATTGCGGTGTTTTGACCCTGTCCTAGAGAGGGCCTGCTTTTGCCAGTTTGTTTTTTTTGAAGTTTGGTTTGCATTGGTATTGGAAGGAAGAAAGGATTAATTTATTTGCAGATTAAGTTCAGGAAAAGTTTTAAAAATAGTTTGTAAGAAATCTATGGAAAGTTGGACATATGAGGAGTAGATAAAAGCCAAAAGTTATGTATGGTTTTAGAAATTTTGATGCGTTTTATAAGAATCTGAGAGGGGCCGGGGAGATGGCTCAGTGGAATAAGTGCATCCCTGGCAAGTGCAAGGGCCTGAGTTCAATCCCTGGTTCTGCAAAACAAAACAAAACAAAACAAAACAACCAAAATCTGAAAAATATAAGTAAAGCATTGAACTATTTTGGAATTATTCGCAGTTTTTAAGTATATGTTTGATTTTAAGGGTTGCAGTTTCAACAAAGAGCATGAAGACCCGTTTCTGTTCACACTAGAATTATTCCAGATACTACTAGAAGGTGGTGTTCAAAAGGAACTCAGGAGCATAAAAATGTCCTACAAAGCCAGTGTACTTTGATCTGTGAAAGTTCCTGTTACCTGTTCAGTACTTTGGGATTTCTAAACAAATGCAACCCAGTGCATGCGTCTATCTTTGCTGAAAATTCATTGCTTGCTCTTTATACCAGGACACACCTTTTAAAACCAGTAACTAGGCGGGCAAGAACTCCTACGCCATGGCCTCGTGTACTCCTTCAAAGTGCATATCCATTGCCAGCTCTTTCAAACCGAATAAGGAATCAGTTACTGTTCCACCCATAGGCAAATGCAAATGCCAATTATCTGTGTTTATATTTCTAAATAATATTCAAGTAATATTTTAAGTGATGGCATTTCTTATTTTTTTGGATCACCTTGGTATTTTCATACCTTGCCTCCTCGTGTGACTGAGTATTTTTGGAGGACTGGAACTCTTCCCTCATTCTTCTCTGTATTTCTTGGGTTTGGCATGGGACTAGGCTCAACATGAGCAATTAACAAAGGCTATACAAATGTATGTTGTTTCAGAGTCCCATATGTCAGAAGGACTTTATAGAGTTAGTGGAATGAAACTTAAGCATATGTATTCTTTAGTACTTGCCATGAATCAGTCAGTCATTCTGTCTGTCTGTCTCTGTCTCTGTCTGTCTGTCTCTGTCTGTGTCTGTCTGTCTGTCTCTCTCTCTCTCTCTCTCTCTCTCTCTCTTTCTTTCTCTCTCTCTCTCTCTTTGTATTTTAGGGAAGGGTCTACCAGGTGTTCAGGATCTCAGTACTAAATTGGACTCATAGTGATCTGCCTCTTTACAGCCTCCCAAGAGCTAGGCCACCATGCCCAGTCTCAGTTGCTGTCTCAGCATGCCCCAGGGGCAGGGCTGGCATTGCAGGTCTGGGGATCAAACCCCCGGCCCCTGTGCCTGCTTGTAAGTGCTTTAATCCACTGAGCTAATTGGCCGGCCCATCTCCGTATTTCTCTTGTGCTCTCTCTCGCTCCCCCTCTTGCTCTCCCTCTTGCTCTCTCATATCACAGAGAGGAATATTTTCAGATTCAGGTTGAATGTTATTTTTAAAATTTACTCTGAAGTTTGTGTGGTAGTCATCC